TTTGAGCACAAAAGTTTCATCGCTAGGGCTCTAATAGACTTTTTTCGCTTTAAGTACTTGTAAAAAATAATTTTCCGCAGTTCTGGAGTCTCTTTTAACAACCCATGTCTAAAAGTTGTGTTATTTTAATTTGAAGATTTAGTTAATATAAAAATGATTTACACAACTTACTGCACGTTTTTGTGTTAAAATATTAAAAATTTAAAAAATTGGTGTCTTTAATTATGTGACTAAGAGGCAGCACACTGAGAATACAACAAATTCAGCAAACCACAGCATTTCAGTAAAAGTGTTAATGCTTTGTCGCTCAAAAACGTGTTCCATTTTCGTGCACAGTTACAGTGGGTCTCTAGGCGAAAATTTAATGCTAAAAACATTGAACTTAAACGCGTGCTTTACATATGCGCGAGTTACAATACCGCTGACACCACAACTTCTGTGCCTCACCATAATAAAACGTGCCGATGTACACTAGGTACAAAAAGTTTCCGCTCAGAAATCCGTGGAATGTGTTTCAATAAAAATATTAATAAAATATATGCGTTTTTGAAGTTCTTTTCAGAATATCAGATGCGCATGCTAATAGCATTACAGTCGCCAAATTTCATGGAATTTCTATGTGCGTCTGCAAAGTTAACGGAATTTTTTGAATTCCACCAATGGAGAATAAGCAGAAGAAGTATCCGCTCACTGCTTATTAAATTAGTTTATTGTAGTTTCTACACGTTTAAAACCTGATAATTTTTTGGGCGTTGATGTCAGTAATACAGATTTAGATAATCGAAGGAAAAATCTGCAATTTTTCGAAAAATTTAGAATTATTCAGCTTTAATCGAAATAAGTGCAAAAGGCAAAGAAATAAGTGTTAATGAGCGGAAAATAATATTAAAATTAAGGGAGGACGGTATAAGCTTTCGAGAAATTGGACGAGTTGTAAACAGAACGGAGTCATCAGTGCGATACGTCATCCAGACTTTCAAAAACAACGGGAATTATTACTTCAAAACCTCGATCTCGACGTCCGACTGATCGGGAAACACGCAAAGTTGTATCTCTTCTAAAGGTTAATCCGCGTTTAAAAGCTTCCCAAATAGCAGAAGATGTTAAAATACGATTTAAAAAAAACAATATGAAGCGACACAGCGAGAAAAATATTAAAAAGGGTTAGATATCATGGGCGAGAGGCACGCAAAAAGCTATTCATTTCCTTGAAAAACCGTATGAAGCGCATTGCATTCGCAAACGAACATATAACCAAGAATATATCTTTCTGGGAATCAGTTTTATGGCCGGATAAGACCAAATATAGTATATTTGGAAAAAAAGAGAGACAGATGGTGTGGCTGGTACAGCCTTTGAAGCGCGAAATCTTACTTCAACCGAAAAGGATGGTGGGGGTGGAGTTCAATTGAGGGGGTGTATAGCAGCAAGTGGAGTTGGTGGCATTGAGTTTATCAAAAGTATAATGAAAAATTTGTTTATCTAAATATTTTAAAACGACAAATGAAGTAAAGTGCTGACAAATTAGAATTGCCAAACTGTTTTGTTTCCAAATGACAAATTGTTTTGTTTCCAATAGGACAAATTAGTACATTCCATGCCTAAAGGTCTAGCTGAAGCTCTAAAATTTCGAGGCTACCCCACCAGCTATTAAACTTTTTATAATTACTTGGTATTATTGTGTTCTGGTAGATGAGCGGAGACTTTATCTGTTTAAGTTAATTGTTTTTAAAATGAAAATGAACTAATAACACCAAAAAAATTTCTTAATTGGTCAAACTTTTATTTTAGTTCAAAAGATTTTGTACCCAGTGAGCGGAGGCTTTTTCTACCTAGTGTATGTAGCAACTGTCAGCATAAACAAATTGAACACAATGAACAGCGGTTACCTTGCAATGTCTACTTAAATGGCACATACATATTGTAATTAATTCATCTATAAGTGGCAAATAGCATTAGTGTCTAATCAAAAACGTTTACTTGCCTCGGGCGTTGTAAACGTTTGTTAGGATTATATGATAGGTGCTACAGGAGCTAATCATTAACTAGCTACAATTTGTTAAAGTCGTCTGTTTGCATCGTGCAATAAACCGTGAATCAAATCACTTGTTCGGGTGTCACAGAAGGGAACCACCCAATCAACTAATTGAAAACTCCAATTTTAAGTTCACTGATTTTGCTTTCATAGCGTCTTGTAACTTTTACCCGTGAAGAGATTAGTGAATAACAGTGTCACACAAGAAAGATCGGAAACGTAATTAAATAAAACCAGTAAGGAAGGGCTAAGTTCGGATGTAACCGAACATTTTATACTCTTGCAAAGTCAAATAGTATACTCGTTTGAGATTTCTTTGTGGATTGACTGATATTTTCGGTAGAAGGTCAACTATAGGCACTGGGGTCCACATATTTAGTACTTAGGGGCTTGAACAGTTTTGGTTCGATTTAGACAATTTTTGGCCACAAGGTGGCATACTTTAATCGCATTATTACATACAGCCGATACAGTCATTGTTGCCTGATTTGTATAGTGGAAAGTGAAAGCCCATTTTCGCACTATGACATAGAAATATGAAAAGAACTTCTTGCACCAAATTTCGTTGAAATCGGTTAAGCAGATCTCAAGATATGGGTTTTCACCTAAAAGTGGGCTGTGCCACGCCCACTGTCTAATTCTGAACGCGGTTCCTCTCTCATACCATCCCAGAGATAAAATTTAATGTCTCTGGCGTGTATAGTGCTTGATTTATCGCGCTTTTAGTAGTTTTTAACAGTACCGTTATATGGGGAGTGGGCGGAGTTGCCACCCGATTTCACACTGTAGGTAGAGGTTCTAAAAAAATTTGCTTCCAGATAATTTTGTTATTATTGCATTAGCGGTTTAAAAGATATGCACATTAAACCTATAGGGGCGGGACCACGCCCACTTAAAAAAAATTTTTTTTACTGCAGATGCCCCTCCCTATTGTGATCCTGTTTACCAAATAAGAGTCTTGTATCTTGTTGTGGAGCTTAGTTATGGCAATTTATTTGTTTTTGAATAATAGCGTTTTGTGGGCGTGGCAGTGGTTCGATTACGCCCATCTGCAATACCGGTATCAGGAAACATGTCTACCAAGTTTCATAAAGATATCTCAATTTTTACTCAAGTTAGAGCTTGCACGGACGGACGGATAGACAGTCACCCGGATTTCAACTCGTCTCTTCAACCTGATCATTTATATATACATAACCCTATATCTAACTCGATTAGTTTTAGGTGATACAAACAACCGTTAGGTGAACAAAACTATTATACTCTGTAGCAACAGGTTGCCAGAGTATAAAAATAAAATATTTTTGTTTGGTTGGTTGATAAGAGAGGCACAGGAGCACCTGACGGCAGACAATCGCACTTTGGTCCACTGCTCCTCGATAACCGTAACCAAATTAGGCCTTATCGAGAAACTCAGGAGTTTTAGTAAAAAACCTTTTTTTCGCACCCCAGCTGTTCAATATCTCTTCAGTTGAAGCATTTAGAGCCGTAGAAGATACCTCGTCTCAGCCGGCTGAAGGGTAGGCAATTGCAAAGGTAATGTTCCATCGTCAACCGCCGCTCTTCATTCCGCCGAATCCACTTGTCCAATTTTCTGAAGGTGGGGTCTTCAGGGTAGATGCTCTATGATCACCCCTACAATGTTACTAGGTTCCCTTTTGCCTAGAAATGTAAGCTATTTGATCTGTCCATCATCAACACAACTCCAAAGTTGCTTTATGGAATGCCCTGTTTTGCTAGTGTTCCAAGACCTGAGGTGTTCCCAATACATTGCTTTAAGCAAATCTTGAAGGAGCTGAATGGTCTAAGGAGGCTTAAAATAATTGTGTTCCTGGTGGCCACCGAGCGGGCCAGCTCGTCTGCCTTTTCGTTTTTTTTTTATTTCTATTGTCTTGGTGCCCAGATTATATTAATCGTTACTCACAAAGTAACCAATGGCTAACCAAACAAATAACCTTTTTAATTAACTTATGGGTAACCATGGCGATAACCAAAGAAACCATTTTCAGTAACAGATGGCTAACTAAACAAATAGATTGTGAAAAGGACGTTATTAACCAAAGAGTAATATATAGTTTTCCAAAATAGTTGACAAATTAGCGCAGCAAAATATATGTCGCATATGCGATAAGGCAATGAGAGAGAACGAGTAAGATAATCACACCGACGTGTAGTGAAAGAGGAGAAATAGTTACTTTTTTCACGACTCTAAAACAAAAGTAAAATATCGGATTGGTTATCATTAATTACTGATGACCTATCGGTAACCAGTTAGCTCACTTTTACCCAACTTTTATGGTAAATGATCATACTTTCAAAAATAAGGGAAAGCATATTAGAAACGAATCAAGACAAAAAGCTTTTTGAAACATTGATTACTCATAATAATGTAATCCATTCATAAACGAAATTGACACCATTAAAACTATTCATGGGTGGAATCAATCCCAATTAAATTATGGGCATGACTATACATAAAGTAAATTATAGTTTAAAAAACTAAAAACACACGCTTTGAAGAAATTTTTAAACCTCCTCCTATAAAGTTCTTCTCTATCATCTTGTTTGTGAAAATTAATGCTTATGGCGCATTTATTTCGTTTGTTATCGCACTTTTAGTATATTTTAACATAACTCTTATATGAGGAGTGGGCGTGGTTATTATCTGATTTTGCCCATTTTTACAGCATATGAAAAGGGGCTAAAAGGACTTCCTCTCAGCAAATTTGGTTGAGTTAGCGGTAGCGGGTTGGATATATGGATGAAGATATATACATTAAACCACTTAGGGGCGGGGTTACGCCTACCTTTAAAGGTCACCACTTAAGAAGATACAAAAAGTTAGTAGATTCGATGCCAAAAACATTAATACTTTTAAAAATGTTGAGTTGTGAACATGAACTATTTTTTTTTGTTAAGTTAACACTGAATTTCTTTTATTCAAATATTGAACAAACTATTATGATTTGTATTTACTTTTTGAAAGTTTAAATATAGTTCTATGCATCATTTTATCAATATTTCCGGTGTGAACGATTTTAAGTGTTCTTTCTTTTAGTTTCAGTGTTGTCTGCGCGAATGTTTAGGCATTCTCAAACAACCTAGTTTTATTTGGTATTGAAGAGCCGAAAAATCTACTATAATCACCAGTGGCTTAAGTTTATTTGATGAACGGAATAAAGAGAATGTGCCTGTCCCAAATGATAACTAAAAAGCTTCAACATCCAAAAAAAAAGCATCCACGATTTATCTATTTATTATTTTAAGGTGGAAGAATTGCGTAGTAAAATGTAAGTAAATCTCTCCCTGGCTATATAATATAAATATAAATTATTTGCTTATTTTTTAATATAACTAATTTGATTTATATGATATCTCCACAGCAAAACATTGAATAAAGAGCATAATCGTCAAACGTAAGTAAATCTATAGTTAGTTTTTATTAACCTAATTAATTTGATTTACATTATTTCTCAACAGATTTACTCTGTAGCAACAAGTTGCGAGATTATAAAAATATTTGCTGCTTTACTTATATGGACTACGCTCCTCTGCAAAATAAATTTTTATTGCTTTAAATCATAGGAATTATTATTTTAATAACTGAAATTTTTTATATACACTATTATTCTCTATAAGTTAAGATACTAACGGTGCTAATCATGCCACACAGACAGGAGATCCGATAGATAACGGGACTTTTATTGGTGCATCAAAGAAATGCGGATGCGTTCGAGCTACGTAATAATTGTAGCAGTACAGAAACTCTGTTGCACATTTGCCACTTCGGTGCTGATACTGTGCCTAAAATTTTGCCAAAGAAATTTGCTTATATGAAGCAAAATTGAAATTCATTTAATTGTGGATAAAATGGAAAAAAGTGAAGAAATTTTATAATTAAAATTGGAAAAAAAGAAGAATCGCTAAAAAAAAAAATGGAAAAGCGAATGGAAAAAAGACGTGCAGCAAAGGTAAACAATTTATTCAACACAATTGAGCAGTACGATAGCGATGTATTCTTTTCCCACTTTAGCGCGACCGATTTGCCGTAAGTGTTATAATTAAAAACCTATTGTTTATAACACAACTAATGTTCTGGATTTGTTTAAAAACTGACGCATGCTCTGCAGCCGCATAGGTTAACCTTAGACATTTACTCCCTTAAACAATCGCTGTATCTTACTTTATGGAAGCTAAACAATACTCACGTAACGTACCGAGAACTCTGATCGATTCTGCGTTGGAAAAGTGACAGCACTTAAAATTTTTTTCATGAACATCAAAGCCGTATGCTACCTAATAAGTGAAATACTCTAAATAACCTCTTTGAATCCTTTACTTCGGGATTCACTGCGTTCATAGAGTCCAGGACTGTACCCCAAAGGACCGCTGTTTTATTTTTGCCGGCTGCAAATTCGGCCTCCATGTCGAGCCGGCATCTTATTAATAGTTTTATTATTGAACCAGATCTTTCGCAGAAAATAAGTAAAAACACAATAACTTAAAAAAATTATATTATAATAAGAACGTGATGCTTTGACAAATTTGCAACACTGCTACCGTGATTGCCGTTTCGAACGCACCCTAAATGCGTCAAAAGTGTACGCTTATCTAGTTTCAGCTCTAGGTATTGTATCGTACAACTGACGAATTTAAATAAAAACTCCTTTTTTTATCGGAGGCAAAGCTAAAAAAATTAAAAAGGGGAAAGGCAAAGCATTATTAAAGTGCACAATAAAGGTCCAAAATTACCGGAATTAAATAAAACCGTTGGTAGAAATTGAAATTCAGGTCGCACAATTATTCAAAAAAATTTTGAAAGTTGTATTAGGACGTTGTGAAGAAATTACAACATGACAATTTCCGTTTGAGAATTTATGTTTGAGGTTGTTGCTTTATTGAAACCAAAATCAGTTACTTAGACCAAATTTTTTGGCACATTGTCTTAAATTGTTCTTTAAAGTATTCAATTTGCATATTTGCAAAGTACAAGGTGGCTCACGAATCGTGCTATAAAAACAAACCGTAATAACTTTTTTAATTTTATATATTACATTTATTTCTTTTTTTACATCATAGCAAATTTTATTTTATTTTATATAATTAATTATTTTGAAAAATTATTCACCGTAAATTACCTCCATGCTCTGCTACGCATATCCGACACGTAATTAGGAAATTAGTCATTGCGGACTGAAGGGTTGAAAGTCGGGATTGCCTTAATTATCGATTTAATAGACTGCTTCAATTCAATCAGATTTCTGGGTTTTGTTTTGTACACCTCTTGCTTGACATAACGCCATAAAAAAAGGCTGGTGCAGTCAGGTCAGACCTTGGGGGCCAGCGGAAAGTGGGGTTTCTTGATATTAAATTGTTTTAAAATTTTCTAAGCTAATTTTTCTAAAAGTAATTCAACATCTTTAACTAACGGAGTCCATTGACAGTTACTGTTACACCGTTTTCTTCAACGAAGTATGGCTTGACAATACAACTTGATGAAACTGCACACCACACAGTGACTCGTTCAGGGTGAAGTTTCGTCTCGTTGATTATTTCTGGTTTTAATTCACTCCATATACGGCAGTTTTGCTTGTTTTCATTTCCGATTAGATCAAAATGGGCCTCATCAGACATAAAAAGGCAATTTATCAAGTAATTGTCTTCTTCAGCCATTTCAATATTATTTTAGGCAAATCTAGAGGATTTCACCAGTTTGTTATTTGAACTTCGTACGGAAACAGGTTAAAGTCATCATGAATGATCCGTTGTAATAACCGTCTGCTAGCTCCAAGTTGCGCCGATAAGTTGCGAGTCGAAACTCTTTGATTTACCTGATTTGATGGTACGGTCTTCTTGCGATACTTCCAGATTCGGCAAACATGTTTACCAACCTCATTATGGTCTATCTACTCGAAGAAGTGCCGACTGAATTTCCATTGGACGGAAATGACGGACTGCAAAGTATGGTATCGCTCCACTATCCAAACTCTCTTTTCGGCAACCCATATGGTATATAAAGTCCCTTGTAAAGCTATGAAATAATAGAACTCCTGTATGCGATCTTATAAGTCGGCACAGCACCTTGTGGCCAATACAAATTTGTGGCGTTTAATTTTTATTCCCAAGTGTTGAGATGTTTTCACCTCGTCTTCTTCCATACGCGTCTACAGCTGGCATTTGGACACCTTTAAGGCAACGGAATATTACAACTCCCACTACTAGGGAAAGGCTAGACTTACTGAGGGCAAAAAGCTCATAGCATCCATCACGATCTATCTTGGGCCAAAAGGGCGACATGAGCCGATGGTAACTCAGCCTTAGTCAAGCTCCCGCGAAGCCCAGCTATCCAGTAGAAGAACGCTGTAGGACAGTGAAGCACCCACTCGTTTCAATTCTACTTGCCTTTAGTTGTCAGCTCATCAGCTTTACAGTTACCTGCGATTCCGCTGTGGCCTAGCACCCATACTAGTCCTATTACACAGATTTTTTTTTTTTTTTTTTTTTATTATAGCGAAGGAAAATACTTTTACGTATCTCGGGCGGCTTAGATGTTTTGCCTGGTATGTCGGACTCGAACATTAGCTTAAGATGACTTGCTAATGTTAATACCGACTAAAAACCTCCGCTATCCTCCAGCCTCGTATCCCCATGGAAACCGCCGCTAGGCATTACTTCATGGGAGGAGGACATAGCTACTGCTCTGTCTTCTGGTAGCTAAGATGTTATTTTATCTTCCTTCTAGTTGATGTCATTTGCTCTTTTTCTTTCTATGGAACGCAAATCTACAAGAATTTCTGTTGCAAATGTGCTAACGGCGTTCCAGGCGGCCTTTGATGACACCATTGTTTCGACTACTGTCTCTGGTTGGATCTTCTGGTTCAGAATTCCTCTCGTTGATGATAAAACCGTGGGTACTCAAAAAACACGTGCTCTGCGCTTTCATTAACTCCTGGGCAGGACGGACACTCCGGTGAATTATCGTGCTTGAAGCGGTGAAGATAGGCCCGGAAGCAACCATGTCCTTAAAGTATAATTAGAATGTAGTACAAAGCAATCTTAAACAGATTTAAATTGTTCTCGAAAGTCTACTTCTAATCCTTGGTACATGGATGAAGCCATTATTATTGAAAAGCTTCTCACGGACAGTAACTCCTGTTTTGGATGAAAATTTAAGTTTGTTAGAAAAAAAATGATTGAACCATATCATGTTACAAAATAAATCTCATTTTTTTACAGCTGTGTCGAAAAAATGCATCAATGTCGATTGGCAGAACACGCTTATTATAAATCATTCAGGTTGTAAAACATTCCAACATTTATATGAAAAATCCGTGAATGGATTGCAAATTCATTTGCGTTGTATTATAGTATATTTCATGAACTAACTTAGGTTTACTTTTTTAGTTTCTTTCGCTTGAGCGTTACAGTTTATTAAAATCAAGCAACATTCATTGATAATCGACTGACTAATGATTAATAGAAAGTCTGTATGTTAGTTATAAATCTTATTTATAATCATATTAGTAGACGGTCTGTCGTATTGATTTTTATTGGGTCTGAAAATTGTGGGGATAGTTAGCATACTTGTTGAACAGAGGACTGAATATTAGGTATACTTTTATCTATTCTAACTGTCTAAATGATCATAAACTACAAAATTATATTTGCCTTCTTATTATCTTAAACAGTGGGTTTCTATATTCATGTAAGTAATTCAGTTGTAATTTGGAATTATTGTAAAATAATAAAAAAGGAATAATAATATAACAATGCAGAGTTAGTACAGTAAATTTCCATACATAATTATGGACTTTGATAGTCTTGCTGTGTTTTACTTTGAACAAGGTGCAGGATTTTTTTAGCACGCTTTTTCTACTATGTTGGGACTGCAATACTGTGTAATCTCTACATTTGTTTTTGGGGGTGCTTACAATAGATCGCATTGACAGTTGTATTATTGCCACAGTCATTGCGCGCGGCACTTTGCCTATTCCTGGAGTTGGGGGCGCGCTCATTTTGGAACAGTCAGACGATTAGGGTTATTTCAGCGGATATGCGGCAAGTGGAGCGAGAATTATGATGGTCGTGATGAGAGACGGAACGATGATTGTTGCGTGGGTTGAGCGTCCTTACACTGGGTTTGCTGGTTTGATGCGCGCGAGTAGGGCCGCGGTCATTTGCTTGGGTACTGCATTTTCACTTAGCCGAGGGAGCATATTGAATGTTGTGAGAGCAAGCGATAGTTATTGTGAAGATGCGGTGCGAGACCACTTACAATTTGATTCTGCAAAATCGAGACTTATGGTGGGCAGGAAGTTAACTTAGTATTTAAGACTGATCCTATATCTTAGACATAAGACAATTGCTCAGGACTACTTTGGTTAATGGTAGCATAATAGATACATGCTTATCCGATATACGTCATAGTTTGCAGATTATAGATATATTCACTGTGCAGACTAGAACATTTTCTGCAATCCTTCTTCATAAGTATCACGAAATAAATGACCTTGGTATTAATGCTGAGTAGTAGATGTGTTGATGTCGATAATAAGTTTAAATTATATTGTTGAATGGTG